ATATATATATATATATATATATATGTATGTATGTATGTATGTATTCCTTGATAAGGGGTGGCTCTTGATGTAATTGTGCTTAAAGAAAGAGTGGAGTTAATATATAGTGATATGAAGGTGGAGTTATTATTTGACATAGGTGTGGGGTTTTAAATGATAAAGGTTATGTATTAAAGTGCTTAGGGAAGTGTAGTCACTCTTATACCTAAATGTATCCTACCCGTCCCGCAGCCTACATTACAACCAAATGAAGTCCTAAGTGATCCTAGACTGAATGAGCTCGAATTAGTGGAGTAGTACACTACGGGAAAGCCTATGGTGCATTTTTGTGGCATATGAATGTTCTTTTTTGAGAGTGAGTGACTTTTTTCTATCTTGAGTTCCTAATTGTTCTTAAATGTTATTGTGTGTGGAATCACTCTCATTTGTTATGAAAGGGCACTTGATTCATGAAGGAAAGGTGAGTCTTAACCTCTGCGTTAGAGTAAGTGAGTAAAGTTAAGAATATTGCGTGGCTTGGGAGAGTCAGCTCTTGAGGCGAAGATGTTACACTACTGGGCTAAATTCTTGTGAAATGTTCTTGGTGTGACGAGTTAGTGGATTCGCTTAGTGAAGTTAGGCCGTTGTAGAGTGTGGTTTGATTGCTCGAGGACGAGCGGATTTAAGTGTGGAGTGTTGATAATAGATGATAACCATGCGAGTTAGCTAATATTTGCACTCTAATTTGGCCGCACTTTACCTATGTTTGATTGTAAAAGATAACAAAATGCTCTAATTATGAGTTTATTGCTTTGCAGGAGTCACTCCGAGCTAGGAGAAAGCTAAAAGAGTGTTTTGGAGTCAATATGGAGCATGGAAGGCCAACCGAAGGACAACACGATCGAAAAAGAGAAGAAAGGGCAAGGATGAAATCCGCGCCCAGGTCCGCGGTCAATCCGCGGCCGCGGACATAACATATGTTGAATCCGCGGTCAATCCGCGGTCCATCCGCGGCCGCGGACGGGGTGTTCGGAGCCAAACATTGCAATGTCAATTGTGTAATTTCTAGGACGACTCTCCTTGACCTATAGTAAGCCCAGCTCGCCCAAATAGAGGATATCGAGGTTTTTGAAGTGTTTTTGAAGGCAAGAACAGGCGAGAAGCAAGGCGGAAGATTCGGCACAGAGTTTTTACCTTTCTTCGTCTTGCTTTTATCATCGAGAATGAATTATGTCATTATGATTGTGAAAACGATTATGCGTAGCTAAACCTCTAATCTAGGGTTGATGGAACCAATTGTTGGATGAAATCTTGATTACATTTTGATATAATTAAGCCGTTTCTTACTCTATAATTGTTCAACTATGTGTTTTCCTGTGATTAATTGAAAGGGCCCTTGATTAATCGTTTCTAGTTACCTTGTGTTGCTTGAGAAAGAACACTGGTTAGATTGTTGTTGAACAACACCACTTTCGGGTAAGTTAAGAGACTAATTACTTGAATTTAAAAGCAAGGTTAGAGATAACGAAGCTTTGGTGGAATAATTCTGAGTTGCATAAATTGTTAACTAGAGTAGTGCGAGAGAATGCTTCTAGTAAATTATCGTAATTGATCGAGAGATAATTGCGGTAACCCAGAACTCATATTTCTTATAGAGTATTACGGCGAGATTATAGCTAAGGTGTCAGGAATTAATCCGACAATTGGGGAAATCAATAACCCTAGACCATTTTACCGTTAAATTCAACTATATTCTTGATTATTGCTAGTTTTATTATTATTTTTCCTTAGTTAACTAAATTCTAATCATTATCCGTTAAAAATCTTGCATCCGGGGATTGTTTGAGCTATTCATTAGAAGTGTTAAAAGTTGTAGTAAATAGGTTAGTTCCCTGTGGGATTCGACTCCGGACAGAACCGGATTATATATTTGCAGCGACCGCTTAGTCCTTTTTATAAGGCGTAGTTGGACGTGATCAGTCAGCATGTCAATCTCGAACTGCTTTACCTTTGTTGTTCCTTCATGAGCTGTTTGGAGAGCTTCCCAGATCACCTTAGCTGATTGGCATGCTGAAATCCTGTTATACTCGTCTGGTCCAATACCACAGATGAGGATTTTCTTAGCTCGAAAGTTCTTTTCAATAGCCTTGCGGTCAGCATGATTATATTCCTTTCTAGTTTTAGGAACAGTCACTGCGGGGTCTCCAATGGTCTTCGTAGGAACGAAGGTCCATTGCAGATGATATCCCAGCTCTGAGTCTTCCGCCATGATGAAGTCGTGCATCCTTGTCTTCCACCATCCATAGCACTGGCCGTTAAATCTTGGTGGCCTGTAGGTAGACTGACCTTCTTCGAAATTTGGCGGAGTAGCCATGAGGATCCTTTCTAGGTGTTAGCCTGATAGAAAGAACCCGCTCTGATACCAATTGATAGAAATTAAGGGTCCACCAACTATATAGAGAACCAGGTTCTCTATTTGTTCCCACAGAACACACGCACACTGCAGTAAGTAAATGACACAATGGAGTTTTACGTGAAAAACTCACAGCTCACGGGATTAAAAACCACGACCTACCCTTGTAGGATTTCAACTTCACTACTGAGCAAACTTTAGATTACAAACTATTGTAACCTAGGAATTAACCTCTTAATCCCTCACTAACTTGTAACAACACTATTACAAGCCACTTTGTAATAACTCTATTACAAAGACTTTTCAACTCGACTAACTCTAGCCAAGACACAAACACAAGGGTTTATGATTTACAAAGATTTCCTACACAATACTTCTAACTAAGCTAAGTAGGAATTACAAGTAAAGTGCTTTAACAAAGGTACAACACAACTAAGGACATGTAATAACTCGATACAGGGAACTGGTTCGTTGTTATGTTGTTCTTTGTTCTTGATGCCCTTGAGAGTCACTTGCAAGATTGATAGATGACTTGAGAGAAATGCTTGATCAATTCTTGAATGTGCAAGTGATTTGTTTTTAACTTGCTTGAGGTTAATAATTCATTTGTGACATCAATTTGAATGAAGTAAGCAAGTTAGGTAAAGGGCATTCCCCATAAAGTTGACTGCTGCACTGTAGCGTGTGCAGGAGGTATATTTACAGCTGGGGCAGTTGACTTGTACAGTCTCCTCCGGAACTGGTAGCTATCTGTTCCCTCTGCTGTTTCTTTGACTCTGAAGAGTTGAACTGTGTCCCCAACTGGAGACTTGTTGATCTTTAAGTTCTTGAGGATGTGTATCAGGTTCCTTATCTGGTTCTTAACAGTAAGTTTGTTAGATCATCAAAACATAACAGGGATACACATATAACCTATCAATTCTGCTTGGAATTTCACCTTCTAGATTATTGTTTTCCAACTTTAGAACATTAAGGTAGGCACAATTAGCTATATCAGGCGGTATATTGCCAGAAAATGTGTTATTTGAGAGATCAAGTGTTGTGGCATGTTCAACTATCACTGATATATCAGAAGGGATAGTTCCATACAAGTTGTTATTTGATATATTTAAACCAGTCAAGCTTGTGCAATTTTGAATTCCACTTGGAAATTCACCTATTAATTCCATTTTGGAAAGCATGATGTTCAGTACCTTATTCTCATCAGGATGCCAGCATTCAATTCCAATAAAACGGCAGGTGAAACCTTCAGTAAAATTGCTTGTAAGCGCTACTGTGTTAAAACACAAATTCAAAAAAAAAAACTGTTAGAAAAATAAAAGAAACTGGAAAAACAGA